CTTTCTTGCACAGTAAATTAATTTGCAGTACCTTTAGTAAATTAAATTACTATGTAAGGATAAAGCTGTAACTAGGGGCACTTATGACCTTTCTTCATTAAATCAACTTTAAATATATTTAGACCCTTAATTAGGTTAACTAACAGACATTTATTTAATTAGGCTTTATATTACATTATATTACAATATATTATATTATATTATAGCTTTCAGAAAAGCTGTGTTTTAACTGTTGATGGACTTCTATATTTATGCCAATCTACACTCTAAAAAATGCTGGGTTGTTTTAACCAAACTTTGGGTCAAATATGGACTAACCCAACTTTTGGGTTAAAAATGTAATTGAAAAATTTAACCCAACAGTTGGGTTAGTCCATATTTGACCCAAAGTTGGGTTAAAACAACCCAGCATTTTTTAGAGTGTAAGATTATTAGCATGAGGCTACTCTGGGGTAATTCCTTTAGCTTCTAAACAAAGGTCTAGGCAAGTAAACACCGCACTAGAAAACCTCTTGCAGATCCAATTCAGTTACTGAAGAAATGTGACTGCTGAGGTCAGTAAATCCAGGCCTGCCAACTACAGCTTGTGGGTCAGTAACACACAATCAATTTGAACACTTTTACGGTTTCTGTTCCTTTAACAAACAATTCACAGAATTAAATACTCAATAAAGACAGAAAATAAAGTCGCCATCTGTCTGTCATGAAGAGCTGGGCTCTAATTGGCTGAGCAGTGTGATGGGAGTGGTCTAACACACCATCGGTGTCTCACCAGTCACTTGATATTTAAATCAAAATTAACATTAGCACCAAAGCGGTCATAACCAAGGAACCTGATTTAATAGCTCAAAGAGTAAGATTTTGTTTATGCAGTGACATTTATTGTCAGAGTATGAAATGGATTAAATACAATCACATATAGATGGTTGTTCTCTGAAGTGATGGTACCTTAGTGACTGACAGCAGGAGGTTTTTGACCGGCTGAGGTTGATGAAACACTTGGATCTCCTCAATGATGTGAGCTCTGTTCTTCAATAGCACAGCTTTGTGCAGGTAGCCAGACTCTACAGGGTACACAGTTAAGGTGATATAAGAAAAAAAAAAAACATCCATGAGAGGACAATTATAAGAAACATTACAAATATACCAGTATTTACCTGTGAGCAGGTAAAGCACAGTGTAATCTCTGCCGCGTGCTCCACGGACTCTCTGAGCTGCGATGTTGCTGTAGCTCTTATCAGGTGACACCAGTTTCAGGCCCTGATCGACCGGTGAAACACTTTTATCAGCCAGGAAGTTGTCCTTAACAAAGCGCAGAGTGTTGTCCGACGCATTATGGAGGCCACACTGCAGAGATAAACAGCAGAAATTTGAATAGTTAGATTTAAGTGCATAAGAAAACAGAACCAGAGAATCAGAGAATATCGTGTCAAAAATACAACATGAACAGTAATAATCTTAAAATCTTAAATGACTGTTTTTTAAAAAAATGTTTTATGTAATTTACTCCTGTGATGCGAAGACTGATTTTTCAGAATCAGTCTTCAGTCTCACGATCCTTCAGAACTCCAGTCTTCAGGGTCACGATCCTTCAGAAATCATTCTAATTTATTTTAAATATAAATCTTGTTACATTATAAGTGTCTTTAGTGTCGCTTTTGATCAATTTAATGCATTCTTGCTGAATAAATGTATTAATTTCTTTAAAAAATGAAATCTTACTGAATGGGTCCTCTCGAGACACTCTCATGACACTAACCTCTCCAGGGTTTGCCATTTGCTCCTGTACCCGTGTGCTCCATTTTAAAGTGTCCCGATTCAGAACCTTGTAACGTCCTGTAAACACCTTTTTAATGTCTTTGAGGCTGAAAGCACACACGGCTGAGCGACCCAAGTTGACTTGCCTAAAAAAAAAGAAAAACAAAAAGAAAACCGTTTTTTTAAAAAGCAAAACACCTAAATTATAAACTAAATCCTCACCAGTTGCAAATACGGAAGAAAAAAAAAACTCTCAGAGTAATAATTTAAAGCATGTTTCCTCACCACTGAGAAGTGAAAATCCCATAGAATAGAGTTTCGTCCTCAGACGTGCCCTCTGGTGGTGAAAGGCTGACAATGTCCTGCAGGATGTTGTATGGCAGCTCTTGGTCAGCTTGACATAGTAGCTGAGCCTTGGCAAAGGTGGTCCAGCGTTTTTGCAGAGTACGCTGACCTCCCACATCACTCTAAAAAACAGATTAACACCTGCTTTAGAATGACATTTTAATAAAACCATCTCAAATGAAACTAATCTTTCATTTGAGTTTGATGACTCTAAACATGCTAGCGACAATATGTTCACATGCACAAGAAATGCATCAAAAACAATACTTACGGTGCAAACTTGGGCAACGCGAGACACTGCAAACTTGTCAATGAAGTCGTATTCTTTTCCAATCTCACTAAAGAAGAAATAAACCTTCTCCTCACTGGGAACGTACGTGGAACTGATGAATGTAGGATCTGGAATAGCGTAGTGAATAGAAAAGTGTATGTTATGAGTAGACAGTAAAGCAAAATCAGAATCAGTAAAATCTCCCTCTCTTTGCTTTTGTGGCAGCATTAAAAAACAAAAGTTTTCTTACCTTCTAACCAGCCAAGCGTATCATCCAGTTTCAGATCAACATGGCTGCCTTCGCTCAAGTGGCGTGAAATGACAGGCCGAGTTCCCCTGTAGTCTGCCACTGTTCCTGTGTACAGTTCTCCATCTGAAACATACAAAGAAACATTATATTTAGCTAAATCACATAAAAATAAACACAAACATCTTTCATTCACAATCTCAGTCATTAGGATCCAAATTCAAAATTCATTAACCTAAAATACATTACAAAATCTTATTTGTCGTTGTGAATACTCATATTTGCCAAGTTTTGGTAACTGGTATGGACTTATTTTATGATACTTTTTTTTTTTTTTTACTTTTCTTCCACTTTACTTGTATGGAAAACAACAGCTTGGTTATTCCTAGCATTTCTTCTTTTGTTTCAATAAAAGTCTATGGCAAAGTAAAATGTCAAATTAGTAATTTCTGTGTTCATGCATTTAAACACTGTTGTGGCACTTTCAGCCTCACATTTTCGCCTCAAAGTCAAAGAGAGACATCACAAATAAAAAAAAAAGTTTTAAATTCCATAAAGACAGGGGTTGTGGGCAATATTAGCCCAAATAAGCATGCATTGGTGGATATTTTGAAAATCAAACACTATCTATGCACCTTTTGTATAGTATACGCACGTTACAAAGGATGGAGTGTGTGCCAGCTGGGATTTCATGCATGGCTGTAGGCCTGTCTGATTAATGGTGAGGTAAATGTGAAGTGAACATTCTCAGGCCTCATGTCTGAAGTCACATGTTGGCCACCCAAAGATAAATAGACCAAGACAAGGATTTAAGAGCAAGAGGATTAATGGTGTCTGTGGACTGAGGGAAATCTGCCTGTCTCTCTCTTGTTCACTCTTCTCTTCTTTATGGCAAGGTCCTTTTCACACCACACACATAACTAGCCTGTAAGAGCAGCATCAGCAAAACTGCAACACCGGGGGTTGTGTTGCACTGTAACGCTGACATTTCCTGACACTGACAATTTTCCTGTTGGTGTATAGTTTTGTATGTGCTGTGTTGGTAGCCTGCTTATCACTCTCCATTTCTCTACTAAAATACTTTAATATTTTGACTTTGAATTTATTTTTCAAGTGGAATTTGTTGTGATTATACTGTATACATTCACTTTTCTACATTTTTAAGATACCAGTTTGTATGTATTGATCAAAGGTCAGATCAAAAACATGTCAAGTATGGAGTGCCACAGGGCTCAGTATTCGGTCCTTTACTTTCTCTTTGTATATGCTTCCCTTGGGTGGAGATTATCAGGAAACATGGCAATAGTTTCCACCGTTACGTATATAACACTCTGCTTTATATCTTGAAACCTGAGCCAAGTTAACAGAGTGTATTTGTGATTTCAAAGACCGGATGACTAGTAACTTCCTTCTTCCCAAGTCTGACAAAACAGAGGTATTAGTTATTAGACCAAAAACCTCTGAACATAAGACAATAGAATATAATCAAAGCTCCATTAATTTATAATGCATCATAAAAGTCTATTGCAAAAGTCTGTTGCATAAATATCTAGTTCAGTCATAAAACTCAAGAAGGCATTTGATAGATCCTTCACATGCAATCTGCTGGCAATAACATAATTCACTACACAGCACAATCTGATAGGCCTCTCCTGATTCGGTAGCCAATGACCTATATACAGCGTACATAGCAGATATAGTCTGCCTAAACCAAATATATTAACAGTCATATACCTTAACATGCTAAAACGGGCTGAAATTTGTTTACAGGGATGTATTTTCACAGGCTCAGCACCAAAACTTAACTTCCAGCTATTTTTCTTCCACACAACACCATACTGCATGTGAGCAGTGTGAATACTGTAACCGGTTACAGATGCTGAAGTAAACACACACACTATGTACGTATGCTGAGTGGAACAGGCCATATAACCAATGCCAGCACATAACATTCATGGCAGAGGAGTGATTCTTACCCACAGTTATGGCGGTGTTCTTCTGGTACGGGTCGTAAGGACAGCGGCCTCTGCCTTCTTCTGGCTTACCGCTGGGGCCTGTAGCCATGGCAAACGTCTTTGAATTCTGTAGAGGTGAGCACATAACGCATATGCACATCAATACACTGATCACAACTTGAAGCAATTAGATTAGGAGAAAGTTCACACCACATTTTCGCCCTGCTGATTGTTCAGATTTGATCGAAAGACACCTTGAGAAATTTAATAAAATCTTTCACAGGCTGTGGTGGTTTCATTCAGGAGGCTTACTATTTTGCATGCACATCTCCCATAAAACACACACACACACACACACACAGTTTGTTTTTGTGAAAAGTGGGGACATCCCATAGGCGTAATGGTTTTTATACTGTGCAAACTGTATGTGCTATTGCCCTACACCTAAACCTACCCCTTACAGGAAACTTTGTGCTATTTCAGATTTTCAATACACTCAATTCTGTGTGATTTATATGTGTTTTGAAAAGTGGGGACATGGGGTAATGTCCTGAAAAGTCACCTTCTCCTTGTAATACCTATGTCATACCCTTGTCATTATACAAATTTATGTCCTCATTTGTCACAAAAAACGCGCGCGCACACACACACACACACACACACACACCTTTTTCCTCTCACACTCATGAAAGCAATAGAGTGAGGAAGTGGCACTGAGACCAAGTGTCACGCAAGTTTCTATCTTTAAAGTACATAATACAATAAAAAGCACTTAAGTCATAAATTAATCAAATCTTACTATAAAAATGTATGCGAGTCATGTGAGGGGACACTACATAAACATGGGCCCTTACACAGTAAAGCAGCCCTTCCACTCTCTCTGACATGCATATTCGATTGCCGCTATTTGCCCCCTAGTGGCAGCCACACAGAAATTTTAAACTGGTTGTGAAGCAGCTGTTACCCTCCACTTATTCACTATTGTAAAATAAATGAAAAATGTATCAATATATCAAACAAAACAACTGACCACCGACAGATCTAAAAGAAAAAACTGCACTCAAAGTTTTGATTAGAGCACATCATTTCCAGTCTGGTGGTTGCATACAGTCTAGCCGCAAGTTTAAATATTTCAACACAATAGAAGCTCTAATTGAAATATGAACATTCTGCATATGCATATGATCGGAACTTGAGGCATCTTCTGTACTACTGGAAATGGAAATGCATGACTTTTGGTCTATCGTTTGTTGCAGACTGAGTAAAGGCGGCTTACTAGGAGTAAACCAAGGGCAAAAATAACTGTGAAAAGATGGATGTTGTCCGTCTTACGATGTAGATGCAGCGGGGACTGAAGGCAAACGTTCCACAGGCGTACATATGGGTGGAGTTCAGCACTTGCAAAACCCTCACGAAGTTATGACAATCCATCTGAGGGTGGAAAGGGGGGTTTAGGTTAAGCACCAGCCTATGAAGACCAATATTTGCAGTTTACCCATAAGGGGTCAAAAGGTCAGACCGTTCAGCACTGAAAGTGGTAGGTTTCCTATACCTTCATTTTGCCTTTCATGGCACAGTCAGCGAGGTCTTTTTCTGAGGGAGACCAGTCCAGCTGAAATGTGAGTGTAAAAACTGGGTCAGATTCATCACATGCATATATCACAGCACAAAAAAAGCTGATATTTATTTGAAATCTTATTAAACTGATGGAAGAAAACAAACATTAACACAATATATACATATATATGCATGCAAACAATACACGTATATTAATTCACTTCAATTTTCAGAGCACACTGATTACTTAAAACAAATAAAAGCTAACAAATAAATCTTAAATAACAAGTAATTTATCTATTTCAGTGAGAAAAAAGGTAATATTTATTGACTAAGTTTTTTTGTGACCAGCTTAATCTATTCAAGCAATAAAGTACGAAAGGCCTTTGCTAAAGCTTGATTATAGTCATGACTAAAGTGCTTTATTGCTTATATAAAATGTTATACACAACAGTATGAAATAGTATATATATTAAAACACTGAGGTCCCTGACATAACAGAAGGTTGCTATGCACCATAAATAATGATTTGCTATAGTAGCTGTTACTATACTGTGAAATATAAGATAGCTTGAATTTTTGCTGCATTGACCAAACAGCATCTAGAGATGATCCATTAATAATGTACAGTATGTTTTTTTTATGTTTCATTGGTATGTTTCAGTTACTCTGATTTGTTGTGCTGACATTTTCTAGGTTATATCCTTCAGTCAGTCATGTACTAAATCAAAATCCCACTGACCTTTTCCTTCACGGTCATCGCATCAGTCTGACTGACATCGATTGTGAGAACGGCATCACGTGCTCCGACGAATAAAGTGCCCTCATCGTTGCTAAGCAACAGTGTGGTGGTGTTGAAAACCTCAGGGTTTGTGAAGACAGTGAGCGAACGTCCTGGACTACCTGTGACGCAGCAGAAAAGAAAAACCACTATGAATGAGCAGAAACATAATTGGAAAAATAATGGCAAATTACAGTCTTATTGTATAGTTACCACTAATTCCCATTATTTTCAAGAGTGCAAGAGTTGTCAATATTTGGGATCATTAAGATGTGACATTATTTTCATATTCCATTAATGATAGTTAAGGTGGGGTGTGTATATGATGTGAATAATTTAACAACGCACGACCCTATTATTTATCCTAATTAACTGTCCATCAAAAGGCCTGATTTTCCAAATGCAATTATTATTTTATTCTGAGGTGATTTAGAACCCAGATAATTCTTCACCATGATGTGAAAAGATCACAAGCGAAATGATTTGGAGAATTTAATCTCAAAATGACTCTAGCTATGACTACAGGAGTCTATAACAGCAGTAAAAGTTCAGTACCATTAGAGTACAGCAAGCAAAACAGCTACATTTGATAAATATTCAGTGGCTTTACTCTGGGATTAAGACATTTTTCCAAGCATATTAATGAGGCATTGATGTCAGCTGATGCAAAATATGACAGGTGTCACATGACATTTGTCAAAACCGCTGGTTTCTTAGGAAGCAGCCATCAGATGATGAATTATAAACAAACACTGAGACAGCAATAATGAGGGAAACTGGGATAAAATCATGGACACCAGAGGACAGGCAAACCTCCACAAGAACAAGTGCTTATTAATTGTGACGAGAGAAAAACACAGTTCTCACGACAATGATGCAGTGCTTTGGTAATAATTTGAGTCTGCTGGTGTTTTGACGGAGAGATTATTTTATCAAGCACAAATAACACAACTTGATGTATCAATCGGGTTGATCTTGTTTTAAACCTCAAGGTAAAATTCAACACTATGATGAGGAAGTCTATCTCCCCAGATTAAAGACACTGTAATTTCCAAGAAGTCTATTTGTGAAGCGTGCAAAGACAACAGCGACTTCCTGTTCATTCTTTATAGGCTATATAGAGTGCGTCATAAACACTTGACTTTTATTAGACTTACACTCTTGCAGTGGTTTTGTTTGTGTGCATTTCTGTGTGTAAATTTAAATGTGGTTGGTACCGTTTTCTCAGAGCTGTGACCGTCCCATAAAAACCACATCTCAGATACATCTCAGCTCAATCAGGTTCAGTCTAGACTAAGATAAGATGGCTTAAGCTGAAACGTGTCCGCAGACGCTCATCTTCTGCAACTGTAACCCTACATCAAGGCCAGTGATCTCTTCAACACATGCACACAAACATTGTATTATAAAAATAATAAACCACAATGCACGCCTTTGACAGCAGAACAATGAGAATGAGAACCAAATATGAAGGTGGCTGCATGAATTATTGATTGTGTTTTAATTTGGTTAAATATGCCAGAACAAACTACACAGCCATAATGCGTGGCGGGGCGATATCTGCCATGATCTACATGCAAAAACAAGCATGCATGCACGCAGTAATGTTGTGCAAGAGTTGAACATGATTGGCCGAACAGTTTGGATAGGAATGTGTACACGACTGTGAAGTCTGTAAGATTTTTTTAATGCTTTAGAAATAAGTCTCTTATGCTCACCAAGGCTGCATTTATTTGAACAAACATACAGTAAAACAGTAATATTTTGAAATATTATTACCATTTAAAAGAACTGTTTTTTTATTGTGATGTATTTAAAAATGTAATTTATTCCTGGGATGCAAAGCTGAATTTTCAGCATCATTACTCCAGTCTTCAGTGTCACATGATCCTTCAGAAATCATTCTAATATGCTGATTTGCTGCTCAAGAAACATCTCTTATCAATGTTGAAAACAGTAGCGCTACTTCATATTTTTGTGGAAATCATAATACATTTCCCATTTTCCAGATTCTTTGATGAATAGAAAGTTCTAAAGAACAGCTTTAATATGAAATTTATTAAAATGTTTCTTGTGTAACAAGTTTTTATGCAAAACAGTAACGCTAGCTCTCAATTTAGTTTCATTTTAACTGTTCGCATTGGAACTTTGTTAATATTGAAATCAAGATAAACGTATGTTGTTGAGTAGCCATACACAATGGTTTGTGAGAAAATGAACAGACCCCGGAATAAACAGTAGGGCTGCACGATTATGACAAAAAACATAATTGTCGATTATTCCCTTGAAATTATGTGACGCTGTGCTTCTCGTCCGGTGCGCGACCGCCTGAAACTCTGTTTTTTTCACCTCCATGCCTAAACGTCTTTGGGCTTCCGAAAGCGGATGATGTCAGGAAACAGTGGTTGCAATTTATTTTTTAACTCTGTTCCTGAGCATTATAACCCCAATTTGCTATTGTGTGCTGCGCATTTTACTGAGGATAGCTTCCACATCACGAGGGAGTACAGTGCCGGATTCGCCCAAAAGTTTTTGTTGAAAGACGGAGCAAGGGGCGTGGCAGTAATAAAACACTGTCTAAGACGTTCGCCAATCACAACGCACTGGGACAGCTAACCAATCACAACACATTTTGTTTTTCGGAAGGCGGACCTTCATCAAAGCTGGAACTAATCGAGCCGTTTGTGCCAGGCTGGGGAGAAAGGTATTTTAATGTAAATTATGTGAAAAATAATGTGTTTTTCGAACCACCAAGCATGAGAGCATGTTCTAGTACACCCCCAAAACAAAATCAAGACTTTGTAGAAGAGCATAATAGGACCCCTTTAAGATAACATGTAGAAAGGAAAAAACATCTCAAGCGTGCAGAATAACATAAGTGGACTTTGAACGATTAATTGCCGCTTTGAACGATTACGTAATTGTGGCATCAATAATTGTAACTGCGATAAGAAATTCGATTAATTGTGCAGCCCTAATAAACAGCTATGTGTAATGTCATCAAGAACTGAAAATGTAAGTGGTTTAGTTAACAATGACAACCTAAATACCATATCTAAAAATGATGTCTCAATAGATAAATGAGTAAAGTCTCCATCTACAAAAACAGTAACTGTTTCTCTGTTAGCATCCGTCAGCTCTTGAACAGGAAACTTGCTAGATCAAATATGAACATGGTTCAATACCTGAAAGGAGAACAAACCACAGAGTTGAAGAAAAGAAAGAAAGAAACATTACCAGCTTGTGAAAGTGTTTCTTTTCCAATCCATTAATACCGATGCATTAAATTAATGAATAACAAATGTAAAATTTTATTGAATCTTTTTTTTTTTTTTATGAAAAAGGTGAAGAATGTTATTATAAAATATTCTTATCCACATTTATATTATCCACATTACTGTATATATATATATATATATATTTTTTTTTTTTTTTTTTTTTTTTTTTTTTTTTTAATAA